AAAAAAAAAAAAAAAAAAAAAAATTGTTTTTGTTGGGGGGGGGGGGGGGGGGGGGGGGGGGTGGTGCTTCCCATCGAGCCCGCAACGACCTTGAGGAGCAGATCTGCTTTCAAACTCCCTAACACCTTCTGACACAACTCACTCGCCTGCATGCTGTTATAGAAAATGTCTTTTTGGGGCATTGGAGGGAGGAAGGGAGGGAGTAGAGGAAAGGCAGGGAGGGTGGGGGGGTCACGAAGCTAAACACTGCTATCTTTGGGCGTACCTGTATCGGATGGATCTCCCATCCCACGGTCTCGTTGCGGTCTCGTTGCGTGTCGGGACGCACTTGCTTGGCATTTAAACACAAACCAGCTGGGCGACGAGAAGCAGCGGGGAGACAGAGGGCTGGTTTCGCCTGATAGGAAATGAAAGGAGCAGACTCGACATCAGGACTTACTCAGGCCTGAATCATTGACCAAAAAAGCTGCGCCTCTCACCTGACGAAGGCTAAACTGTTTTCTGCACCTGAGGGCTTTCGAGAGGTCGGCCATCCGTGACCCCTGAGCATAAATTCTGTCAGTCAAAGGATCGCTTGTTCTTTGTCTTGTGGTGGGGGGAGAAAATGGCCGTCTCACGTCGTGAGTCTGATGTTGTCTGTTCAACGTTTCTTCAATTCGAGAAGCGCGACCATAAAGTGGACAAATGAAGCTATTAAAGTGGCGAGGGAGCGTCGAGACGTCAAAAGGGCCAATATTTTCCCTTCGCACGCCGGTTCGCTCGGGAAGTGTGTTTAGCGGTGTTGACGGCTGCTATTGCTCCGTGGAATCTCGTGTTGGTTTGGTGGCCGCAGCGCGCTGCTGCTGCTGACACGCTTAATGAGACGTCAGTTTGGATGTGCTGAAAGGCAAGAATTCAGATAATTAACAAAGTGTTTTCGTGTGTTGTTGCTTGTTTCTTATTTTGGAAAATGAGCTTTTTTTATATAACACACCTTGTCCTAAACTGGTGGAGGAATGAAACCTTGTTTGTGAAGGCTTGGGAAAGTCAGGGGAAAGTCCGGCTGAATGCTGAAAATCTATTGGTTCGATGCTACTTTACATACTATTGGCTGGCGTTTGCAAAACAGCCAATCCTGTAAAGCCATTAATTTTCCGTGATACTGATTGGTTGCATACCCAAGAGCGGAGGTAAGACTGTAGATATTAGCTAGGAGCTAAGGCGGTTTCCATTGTGTGTATTAATGCGCATTAACATATATTTTGTGTTTGAATAATTAAAATGGGCAGTTTAAGTGTTTTTAGATGCCTTCTCAAGTATTTGCGGATTTTATCTATTCGTGTCCGATTGTGGTCCTTAATGGTCATTCGAGAAAAGCACCAATACGAAAATTTGACCCAATATCGATAGCAGATGTTAACATGGCCAATAACTGATATTTACCGATATTACATACATTTCGTTACCCTTTCAGCACCTTGACAAACACGACACATCGCTAACTTCACCGCTGCTTCATCTTGCACTGCATCACTATCGCTGTCACATGACCAAACAAATACCCCATGACCAACCTCCTCCAGTAACCGATGGCAACAAGAAGGAAATGAAAGTTGATTGGCCAGTTTTATAGATCGGACCAATACTTATAAGTTAAAAAAGTGACGAATATCAGCCAATACCGATGCTGGTACTGATATATTGAGCGTCCCTCGTCGACTGTAGATGTTTTTCAGACTTACAAACATGGAGCATTTAAAAAAGAGTTGCAGCCAACAAGCCCCATTGTACCTCTGGAGGAGCTGCAGATCAACCAGCTCAGGTGTGAGTATATCCAGAGAGGACAAGTGGAATAATGTAATTTGAGTAGTTGTGCAACAAAACATGCACTTTGCACTTTTTTATACTTTTATCCAACAAAGTGGTTTGGTAAACCTGCATTTTGTTTGTGTTCTACATGCTACATGAACTTGTCATTGTACCGTGACAAAATATGAAAAGGTTTTAGGGGTTAGAATACTTTTACAGAGTCTGTTTGGACTGTTGATATTGATTGCACAAGTTCAAATATGTCATATGTATTATTTTAGTTTGTAAAGCTGATAAGTCGTGTAACTAAAAAGTAGAATTTCTGCAGAACAGGTGATTGGTGTTAATTGGGGTTGCCAGAAGAATCCGGCGTGCCCCGGGCACCATTCACAAAAGAACCGCAACAGACCGATAGAGGAACCCAAAATAAAAAAAAAAAAAATAAAAAAATAAAAAACTCTCCTTGAACTGGTCTAATTCTGCACTATACCGCGTTAACTTCTACTCAGATCGTTAATATGGGAGCTGATCACATCAAACCTGATGAAACAAATCATTTCCATATTCACACACAAAACACCTTCCTGCTGTTTCGCCTCCTGCTTTAGTTAAAAAAAATAAAAACTCATGAAGCGCTCCAACATGAACCGCATCAGCCTTGCCTTCTTCTTCTTCTTTTCCTCCCTGCTCCACGCGGCGGACTATGAAATATTTTGAGGACAATTGGTTAAGTGGAGTTACCTAGTTGCCTTTTTCTTTCTTTCTTTTTTCTCCCCGAGGTATCTTCCGTTTTTTTTTTTTTTTATCCCGCCGAGCCTGGCGCCTCGCAAAACGCAACTTTGTCTGGCTTATTAAATAGTATGACCTGGAGAAAGAAAACGCCTGTTGCTTCTCAGCCGAGGCCATTGTGAGGGAGAGGAGCTGCTGACAGGCCTTAAATTGCTGTAATGCTGTGTGACCAACAGTCATACCTAATCAATTTCTATTCGAAGTGTGGACGGATGTTGTTGTTTCTTCTTCTTCTCCTTCTTCTTCTTTTAGACAATTAAATTTTCTCCGCGCTTTAATTCATTTCATGTTTTATGGATTCAATTTTAGACTTTCGTTTCTTTTCTTTCGCCTCATCTTACTCTGTTATTATCAGTTTTTCTGATCATATTTACAGTAATAAAACTAACTCGGTACAGTTGGAAGTGCGCTGTTAATGGATGTAAAATGCGCAGGGAAGTCCTCCCCACTGCTTAATTGCGCTAAAATTGGTCAAAGCTACTTTGTGAGAGGCATCAATAACCCCCGCTCTGCAGGGGGTCTGTATGATTAAAGTCCCCTCGCTTTCTCGTAGGCCTCTTGATCTGCTCCCCCCTCCCCCTCCCTTCCACCAAAAAAAGGCGAGTGGGCCAATCGAAACCGCACGCGGAGACGTCACGAAGACAGCACGAGAAGCTGATTGGATGGCGCGGGGAGACGGGAACAGCCCCTGTCCTTTTATAGGCGACCCCCGTCCCACTTGTGCGTAAAAAAACGCTACTGGGCACCGCTGACAGGCGCAAAAACTCTCACAGTGGAGACCTCACGCTCGAGCCGCTGCGTTTCACCACACGGGCCACGCCGACGTGCATGGCCCCCAGCCTCTTTTGTCATACGATGAATCCTGCGCAGCCTGGGTCACCCTCTCAAGACGCCAAACTGCAGCTTCACCAAATGGAGGAGAGCGCGGAGGGCGCCGAGAGCGACGAGCTCCAGCCGAAAGACATGACCACGGATAAAGGATACAAACTGCAGCGGAGCAGCCTGCCCTTCAGCGTCGAGTCGCTGATTTCTAAGAAGAGCACCTGTCGGACTTCTTACCCGGCCTTCGATTCGGCGGCGCCGCCGACGACAACGACGGCGGCGGCGCCCGGGGCCGGTCAGGGCGCGCAGTTCTCTCCGAGGACTTTTTACGCGGAGAGGAAGCTTTCCGGGGAGAGTTCGCAGGGAGTTGCCAAGAGCTCCGGGGAGGACTGCGCGCAGTTTTGCGAGAAGGAGCAGAGCACTTGGTTCCAGACGTCCTCCTTCTCGACACCTCCCCGTAAGTCCGTCCCATCCGTGTTATAAGAAGCGCAGCGATGCTTCGTTTATTGTTTCATCAGAAATCCCCGAGTAAATTTGTAACGAGTTCAACCCTAGTTGTCAGAAAAGTTCCACTTTGCAATCCCCTCGTTCCTCCAGCCGTCTGCGCGCACATCGTCTCTGCAGCAGATTGTGTTTGTTTTCTTTACTCATATAATCGCCAAAAACGTCCAGAAAAGAATGTTTTCGTTACTTGCTTTTGCTCCAAACTCAACTTCAAATGCGTGTTTTGCAGGCCTGGGATGAGTTTGAGGCAAAAATTAAATTAACTTGATTACCATCAATTAATGACAAAATAGTCAGTTGAGGCTGCTTGGAAGTGCAAACAGATCGATTGTGTTAATCAATACAAGCCGTTCAGTTCAGTTGCACACAGTTTAATTTGTCAATATAAACGGTTAAAAAAGTAAAATATTAAAGGAATTCAGCTGACTGCATCCTCATGAGCACCAGACTTCATTTATCAATAAACTTTTGCACTGTGAGTTGATTATTGCGCACTGTTTTTGAGCATTTTGTGTCTCTGATCAGCTGGTCAAACTAACCTCATATATTTTCCTGTTTTTTTATTTATTTATTTATTCATTTATTTATTTATTTTTTCTGCATCAGGGAGCTCTAGTCCGACCCAGTGTACCCTAAGGAAGCACAAAAACAACAGGAAACCTCGCACCCCGTTCACTACCTCCCAGCTGCTGGCGCTGGAGCGCAAGTTCCGTCAGAAGCAGTACCTCTCCATCGCCGAGAGAGCCGAGTTCTCCAACTCTCTCAACCTTACGGAGACTCAGGTCAAAATCTGGTTCCAGAACCGCCGAGCCAAAGCCAAGAGACTGCAGGAGGCCGAGCTGGAGAAGTTCAAGTTGGCCTCCAAACCCGTCCTGCCCGCGTTCGCGCTGCCTTTCCCCCTCGGAGCGCACATGAGCTCTCCGTCGTGGGGCCCCTCCAACGTCTTTCCGAGGCCCAGCCTGCCGGTCCCGGGACTGTTCAGCGGACCCGTCACCTATGGGATGTACTATTTGTCTTAGGATGTCCGGGAAGGGGATGAGGATAAAAAAAAACAACAACAAACAAACAAAAAAAACAACTTTGTATTATTAAAAAAAACTCAAAGTAAAGTTGGGATTTTTTTTTAACATGCGCGCATTTCTGGGACTAAAATGATCTAAATTTCTGCCCCAGAAAAAAAAGAGAATAAAATAAAATCCTTGAAATGCCTTACTTTCAGATGATCCACTGTGGTTCCGCAATAATATAAAAGTGGACGCTTAAATTAGTAAAAGAGGGAAATGAAACAGCAAAGTACTTATTATTCGGTGTCTGTGCCTTATGAAAGCGTCTTTATTGTCACTTGAAGTATTTTTTTCCCTTTTTGTTACCCAACATTACCTGTGTGGTTCTCCGGTGAAGCTGCTGAAAGGACTGATATTTTAAACAGCAGGTCAAGTTTTATATTTTGTAATTAAAAATAATAATAATAATAATAATTAAGCATAAAAAGGGACCAAATTATATTTTAGTAAATAGTTTTTTAAACCTTCACAATGTGGCCTTAATGGGTACTATAGTTTTTTTTTTCTTCTTTTTTTGCTGTAATTGTAAATAAAATGTGTAGCGTTCAAGAAAAAACAGCGTTGCAGCGTCGTTGGAAGCGCAGGGAAAGTGGTATTTATTGACTGTCTTTGTATCTGTACTGTGTACATTTATTTGTAAAGAAAACTGACTTTAGTAAATAAACATTTAAAGACTTGGAAAATAACTGCGTGAGCTATTTTTAACCGTAACAATTCATTAGAGTCGGAGCGTTTGCGTCTGTTTCAGCACATCACACCTTAACAATAACTTTTGTTATTTTTTCTCTCTTTTTTTTTGTGGTTGTTTTTTTTTTGGGGGGGGGGGGCGGAGGGGGGGCTTTCTTTCTTTTCACTGGATGTTTTTTTTTCTTCTTCCCACAGAAACACACAAGACATAAAACTTTGCCAAACCTCGACTCCTGATTGCTGCTGTCAACTTTGAGGAATGCCAAACAATTGCAATTTTCCGTTTTTTTTTTTTTTTTACTCCTTACTTTTCTGAAACTTGTGTATTAGGCTCAGATGTCCTTATTCCGTGTTCTGATACGTAAATTTGAATCCTAAATGTTGAAATCTATTTTCCTCGTGTCTTTCAGCACTTTTTTAAAACCGGAATACGACACCACCATGTTTTCTCGCGTCTTTTTCCACATAAAATTTACTTCCAAAGCAATTAATGTTTTCATTCAGCGTTTAAATGTATTTTAATGCAATATATTTGTGCGAAAATTTCAAAAATTAAAAAATATTTTAAAAATTTTTTTTAAAAAAAAATTAAAAAAAAAAAAAAAAA